CAATTTTAATTTTTTTATTTGGTTCAATTTTGTTCAATAATAAAAATTAAATAAAAATAATGTTACTCGCATCATCGATGAATAATCATTTTTTTCATTCGTTAACACTCCCAAAATTAAACTCAAAGTTGATCATTAAGTTATATCGTTCCTCCTTCTTTTATCTTCAAACGGAAGAACGTGTAAACTGATAAACAATAAAAATCGACGAAGCGAAAAGAAGTAGAATCATTTTCGTAATCATAATCTTGCTGCTGATGCTTCGAGGACTCAGTTTTATCTACACGATATAATAATACCTATGCGCATCAAATAAAAAGTGACCTTGTACCAAATGCCGTTTCATCCTAAGTCGAGGACGACACCGTACATTCTCGAGAATGCTGTTCACGAGCATTTTCTTGCACTTCTCTCTCTCTCTCTCTCTCCCTCCCTCCTTCTCCTTGTAATTTGATATCAGGATAACGTCAAATGCGTCAAATGATAATTGTTTCAAAACTAATTGTATACTCTCCTTGAAACTGTCACACATTATGTCTCACCACAGTTATATCAAGAATTGTATGAAGAAGATAAACGACAATTTAAGCAAATTTTCAATGTCCAAAGGGGAAGAGTCAATGGACTACCAAAGAAAAAGGGTGGGGAAGGGTTCAAGAGGGGCTAAACAGTATGACGCAAGTGGATGACGAAAGCACGATTAAGATGATATATGATCAAAACTATTTTACATCAAATGTAAACTACAAAGTCTCCCTTTTTTCTACCTAACAAGCAATGATCTGTAATTCATCCATATCGTGTTCTTATAATTAGATTTATTTCTTATATATTCAATGGTGTTCCATGAAAATGTGTTCAGAAATAAAAATCACACTAATATTCGCAGAAAAGTTAATACGTACTTTAGTTTTCTTAACGTGGCAAGTGTCCAATGAAAGTATACTCCTTCTCGGGAACTAAAGAAGAAGTCAAACCAAACAATTCGAAGCTCTAAGTTTATTTCTATTCATGGGAAATTTTCATAAACCTGTTAACCGAGGAATTTCCATTTTAATTACGTAGCTTTTTTTATTATTTATTTATTATTTTTTATATATTTATTTATATCTATTATTTATAATATAACTTTGTCCATTTTTAAAATAAAATAAAATAAAATAATAAATTATTCATAATTTGAACAATTAATTAATTTCATTACTTTTCAACTATTGCCAACATGGTGGGAATTTGTATATTCCATTTTAGGAAATGGGGCCTTACCCCCTAGTGACGAAAATTTGAAGTAATGTTTGTTTGAACGAATTGGCATCTCTAGCACTTGAATACGCTATCTGGTGGATAAATTCAAAATTAGAGTAGATAGGTCGAATTGCTACGCCACGTGGGATCTCTAGTACTTGAATACGCTATCTGGTGACTAAATTCAAAATTAGAGTAGATAGGTCGAATTGCTACGCCACGCCCCTGCCAGAGATCCCAATAGAATTTTCTGGTTGACCTAATAAATATATAATTTGTATTATATATTATATATTATATAAATATATTATTTATTATTATTTATGCTTAAAATAAATGAAAGAACTATGAAATATATATTTTTTCTATTTATATATAAAATACAAAAATATTTGTACATTTAACATAGTTTTAAAGCAACACATTTAACGTATTTATACGTCCCGTTTGGTTAACAGGTTAAGAATGTTGTTTAACCAGAACCTCTCTAACCATGTAAAATTACATTTCTCGAGTTAATTTTCCCAACTAACAATAAATAAAATACCGGGTGGATTCCTTGATTTTATTAAAGAGTTTTGTTTGATCAGGTTGTTTTCTAAACGTGTGTTACTCGTTCAAGAAAATCTCAGGTATGCGTTTCAACTGTTACGATCTTTACGACAAAAATAATTCGAAGCTGGCACAGTAAGAGGAAGTATATAAGTGGGCGTATCGTCACTTTGACAATCGTCATGATCACCAACACCATCACACGAAAATGTACTTTTACTAACATAAGCAAATCATATATACATATATCTCTATTTCTATCTCTCTTTTAATTCGATTTAAAATAAATTCAAATTATTCGTTCAAATTTTTACAATGATAACAAAAATTCCAAATGAATTTACTCAATTCTGAAAGTAACCAAAAAAAAAAAAAAATACTCAAATGAACGCATACGTGTGCATGTGTCTGCACAGTTGAAACAAGTCCTGAAATTGAAACAAGCACGGGCGCGCTGCTTCCCTTCGTGAAACTTTCATATCGTTTTCTGTTACGATTCGACCTTTCGTCCTTTCATTTAAAAGATAAACCGTTCGATGAAAAGAGGGGAGGAGGAGGAGGAGGTGGGGAAAGGACCTCTTTTCTACCTTCTCCTGGCCTCGACACGTACATTCATTCCCGTCAGAGAAGCTCGAATACCGGAGCTTACTTTCTCTCCCCCTCCCCTTCCCTCACTCTTCCCTTCTCTTTCTCTCTTTTTCTCTCGTTTCCTTTAGATTCTTCAAATTAGTAAGAACTATTCAACACTCTTTTATCTGATCTTTTAATGATGAAGGGGAGGGGGCAGGCAGGTAGACTTTACGTCACATGGGACATTAATTTGTCATTAAATTGTCATAAAAAATTGTAATTTTTGAAATGTCAGGAGTCTACTAGTATCAAATCTTACAGTCCAACTCTACTCTTACAGTAGACAAGACCTAAGGGTTTGAGAAGGTTGAATGGAAACAGAGAAGAGAAAGAAAAAATGGAGGAAATAGAAATCTCGAAGTTGACTTTAGAAGAAATTGAAACTAATAACGTGAATAGATTTTTTTTTTAATTTTTAAAATAAAAAAATCAAGAAAAAAAAACACACACAAATCAATTCAATGAATATTTTTGCGAAAAATTTATTACAAATATACAAGTGTTCAAAAAACACTTTGTTAGTTTGCAACAAAAGGTTAAGTGCAAACTGAACTAGAAAAAAAAAAAAACAAAAATAAAGAAAATAATTTGTCCATCATTTTTCCATCCTACCAAAAGAAAAATTGGCATATTTTTAACTTTTTCCTTATTTTTTTATTTTTTTTTTATTTCAGCATCTTTCATTTCCTTCCACGCAATCTGGCCATGGCTCGGCGGGTTTCACCTTCAGCCTGTCCGGCAATCAAGATATTGAAGGACCTCAGGGTGGCTTCGAGTGCATTCAACAAACAGGTCCAACGTAAGTAAATTATTTTTCTTTTTATTAACAAAAAAAAAATGTCTTTGTATCAATATTAATAATCATATTAACCCTTTCGCTTCGAGTGTCGGATATATCCGGCATCTGCGCGATAACTTGTACGCGTGCCTTCGTACGGTGATGACGACACTTTGGTAAACTGGACTGCCGAAGCGAAAGGGTTAATAACATATAATCATTCTCAAAATGTACAATAAAAAATAGATTCGTTTAAATGTGTCGGTACAAAACGTAAACTGGAACGGAAAGAAAATTCTTGTTCTTTCAACGTGTATGTATCTATGTTTTTGCTGCTATCATATTTAACTTTCTTTACTTGTAGGAGCCTGGAAAGCCTCGGAGCGTTGCCATATAAAATGCGAATACAAGCGAATGACGACGTCTATGAGACAACCAGGCATCGAATGGCTGTGGCAGAAGAAAACAATAAGAATAAATGGTAAAGTATTCAACGTTCATTTATAATCAACATATTGTATCATTGACACGTAATAGTAGGGTTAATTTCTTTAACGAAGAAACCACCACAGCCAAGGCTAGAAGTTGGCTTCACAAGTGCAACTTCGTTATGACTGAATCCCCGCTTGAGTCCCTCCCCTATTCCTCAACTCTTTCCCTTAAGAAAAAATCCCCGAATGTTTTATTGCAACACGGGAACATATTGCATGACGATAAATAATACAATTCTGTGTCCCATGGAGTGGGGGATGAATATTGATCATTATATACAATTAATTGGTTGTTTCTGACAATTTTTAGCACCAGGGTAATCAAAGCAAATGGACCGGATATTGGCAGAAAAGTAAAGGTTAAAAGTACCGTTAAAACGATACCACCGGTATCGAACAATGCAAGATATCGAGAATCATCAAACGTTCCACCATCGTCTACCGGTGGTAATAATCAATTAAGATTAAGTTCCACCTATAAATCAACTCCTATCAATAATCAATCGATGACTCGTAATCAACCTGAGAAAAAGATTTCCGACATCATGCGTAGACCACTCAAGTAAGTTTCTTCTTTTCCACAGATGAATCTTTTCATTTATAGTAATACCGTTGTAACACTTTCTTTATTTTTATTTACATTGTACAGAGAACGTCTGATACACCTACTCGCTGTGCGTCCATACAAGAAGCCCGAGTTATATGATCGCATCAATAAAGGTAAGAAAAAGACACTAAACATCATTTCTATCTCTTTCTCTCTCTCTCTCTTTCACTCTCTCACTCTCTCTCTTTCTATCTCTTTCTATTTTAGAAGGAATTAAGGAACGTGAACGTAGTAGCGTGACAACGATCCTGAAACAGGTGGCCTTCATGCGAGACAACACGTTTCATCTACATAGGTACGTTTGGAACGACGTTCAGGAAGATTGGCCATATTATACGGAACAAGATAAGGCTATAATGAAGAGGAGGAAACCTCAGAACCTCACGCCACCTGGATCCAGCGATGGTGGATCTAGTGGTAAGTAGCTGGATCCTATATTTTGTTTTACCACATTTCTATGTACTTTAATACAAAGTATTGTATGAAATATAGGTAGCGGACAGTCACCAAATTCCGTTCATCCGGGTTCACCACCAGCTATAACAGCTCCACCCCCAAATCTTCTTAACAAGAGACCTGGATATTATCAAGGTAACGATGGCCTTCCGACAAAGAAACCACGGATATCGCATTATAAGAAACCTGAACCTAGCTCAAATACAACTTCTTCTTTGTCTTCCACTTCTTCCAAAGCCAACGAGAGTGGAAGGACGAAAGGTAGTGGTGTTAGTGGTGGTGTCATTGCTGGTGTCGGTGGTAATGTTGGCGGTGTCGGTGGTGGTAGTGGCAGTGGCAGTGGCAGTGCTGGTAGTGGAAGTGTCAGTGTAAGTACTAGCGGTAATGCTAGTATATATGATGTTTGGGATCAAAGACATCATCATCAACAACAACAACAACAGCAGCAGCAGCAACAACGTGAACGCCGTACCGATTATCGGGCTGAAAGAACATCAAACAGTGAAGTGTTACGAAGTGGTGGCGGAAATTATGGCAATGGCAAAACTTGCCCAACGTCATCAAGCAATAGCAACAGTGCGAACAATCAAAACGATTCCGGTATTTCGAGCAGCGAGAGTAATGCCACGAACGTCAACATCGCCAGTCATAATTCTCATAATAGTATAACTCATAATAATTCAATGTGCAACAGTCGTAACCACTATGGGGGTAGTGGTGGTGGTGGTGGTGGTGGTGTTGGCGGCAGCGGTCAAAATATTAATAAATCGATCCAAGGTGGTAACGAAAACAGCATTGGTTCAAGTGTAGATCATCTTGCGCGCAAAGTGACTAATTCCACGAGCGGTGTAGCTGTGGGTGGAGTTAGTGCTAGTAGTGGTAGCAATAGTACTAGCGGTGGTTACAGTGCTTCATTAAACGGTATAATCAACGAGCGAAGAGACAGAACCGATCGGATTCGCAGTGATAGAGAACGAGAATCGCGTCAAAGGAATAATGCCAACCACGGTAGTAACTCCCTTTCTTCTTCCACCACAAATCACAATCTTGCGAATAATTTTGATGGAAACTTAGCACAGTTTAACGATAACGTCAACGATAACACCGTCACGACATCAACGTGTAACGTCGATTCACAAAGTCATACCGATTTCCCTAATTTCCTCTCGTAAGTTAATTACCTCGCCATCAATTTTTGTTTACCTTTTTTATCGATCTGACAGATTATTGATGATCTTATTGTCAAATTTATTCTTCTTATAGATGTTATACTCCAATACAAAGCTTGGAACAGAGACGTCGTTATAAAATTGAATTTTACGAGGACTATCAAGAATATAGAAGGTTGCACTCTCAAATGGCGATGGTCTCTGAGCGTTTCCAGCAATTGGAGGAACGTCTGAAGGAAGAACAGGCGACGGGGAATATAGAGGGATGGAGGGTAAATATTAGAAAAGTTAAAAATATAATTTAATCAGTAAGTTTTTTTACAGAATTGAACTTAAAATCATAATTTTTTAATTCTTCGTTTAATTTCTCGTTTCTAATTGATATTTTTGAATTTTTTCAGGAGGTTAACAAAATGATTCTTATGGAGTACGAGGAAACGAAGAGCGATCCGATACAGGAACAGACGAAACGTCGCTTCGAATATTTGCATGAAAAATTAAGCCATATTAAGAGACTGGTCACCGATTACGATATGCAAAATAGCGGAAGCACGTTGGCCAACCATATGGGTGATACGGGAGGAATGGATAGTACGCATTACTGACATACAATGAAAAGGCCGGCTTTTTTTTACTACGTCTGTTTTCGGTTGTCGGTACGTTACAGTCGCGACTCATTTGTCGCAGAATTTCCATTTTCTCGACAAAGTTGCAAGGCTGATCTTCTTAACGGTCCTTATGGTTCCTGGAATAATAATCGCCGAAAATTAAAACTAATCTAAAAATAAATGAAAACACTGAATGGAGGTTGCGCGACTCGAAAACGAACGCCATTCGACCAATCTTCCTGCCGTATTATGACTTATGAAATATATCGATAGGAGAATGCGTTTCCAATTTTATTCTCCAATTGTTTTGTTGACTTTCTTCATTTGCGTTTAGAAAAAAGAAAAAAAAGAAAAAAGAAAAGAACAAAAAGAAAAATGTGTGACGGAGTTTACGCGATCAAACTGATGACGTTTTAAATTTGACCAATGCTTGCTTCTCGGTTTAACTCGGTTTATCGCTGATTATGAAACACGAAAAGGCTGACGACAATCGGTACGTTTAAAAGGCAAAGATAATAAAAATGATAAAAGGAGAAAAATAATATTAAATAAAATTAAAAAAAAAATAAAATAAAATAAAAATAAAAATGGGAGGGAAAGAAATAGCGGGATCGGTTAAAAACACCGAGACGGCCAGGGAAAAGATCTCTCCAAATGCGCGCGTAAATTGCAAAAAGAAAGAGGGGTAAATAAAATAAGTTAATATATAAGAGTATAAGTATAAGTATAAGTATATATA